CTGTTCTCTTTGAGTGATTCCTTTTGAGTCCTACTTCCTGCCTGGTGATATGTGCAATTTACCCGGAAAAAGACTCTCTGAATATGTCGATACCTGTATCTGTCATTGTGATTATTGAGTGACTGCTGAATGATTTGATCTTCATTAATTTTCGTCATGTTTCAACAAATTATACCTTGTTTTGGCCGGCTTCACCATAACATGAGGGCTATTACACCTTTTGTACTTTTTATATTCTGTACTTTAAGTATTTCTGAAAGTATTTTTAATTTACCATTACAGGTCCAAAAATATTGTATCTACTTTAAAACAGAAATAGCGGGAATTTGGAATAGAATGCATACTGTTTTTTGAGTGGGCAATAAACCCAGAGCCAAGGAAAAATCCCAAATAAAGATCAACGATATTGGTCAATAGACCTTGACTTCTTCCTTTCTGGCCAAAATGCGATTATAGCTCATCCCAAAGCTACAGATAGCTTTAAAGCTGTAGTCAACCTTCAGGAAGACGATTCGATCACACTCATTCGTCTGCATTCACACCTCTAGATCCCCCTCAGGCAAACCCGCACTGCCTTCAGTGCCACCACGAATCATAAAGCTAATTCCTCTTAACATTTAACCCAAAATGCAGATAGTAATAATTATGAAAATATACTTTGTCTCCTCTTTTACATTTGGTCTGTTTCAATACAAGCGTGAATGATGAAAAAATGTCCAAACCAAAATTCTAGTGTTCTAGTGGTGGCTGAGTGGTGGCTGAGTAGAGTTTGCATGTTCTCCCCGTGTCTGCGTAGGTTTCCTCCGGGTACTCCGGTTTCCCCTACCTCTAAAAATATGTACAATAGGTCTGGCATGCGCCTCCTGTTCGGCGACCCTGCTCCCATCTCTGTGTGGAGTGAGAGGGCAAAGGCCCAAATAAATAATTGTAAATAATAATTCGGGCGTTCTGCTCTCCCAAAATTTCATCCACTGAGCGGCGCTGTGATAAAAAAATGACACCGTTTGTTGCCCAGTTCACTTCCGGTTGATTTCATACAATGGCGAATATGGCTCACGAAAACAACAAACGATTGACAGTGCCTGAATTGCGTGAAAGGTTGAAGCGAAAGGGTATTTGCAGTGTGGGAAAACAAAAGGAGGAATTGTTGTTGCTAGTTCAACGAGCGGATGGTGTTTATGAAGATTTAGAAGAAGATGACAGCGAGCAGAGTGAACGAAAACGGCTGTGTGTGCGAGTGACAGATGGTAACAATGAGAATGAAGTTCAGCTAAGAGGGAAGAATGTGAATTGGACGGATGATTTGCGCGATATGCCACTAGTTAGAGACGGGAATGTATTTGCATAATGTAAAATGATGAAAACACTTATTTAGACCATTTAGAAAAAATGCGCCGGGCAGAGAGAACCGGAAGTTGCGAAGGCAAGTGTTACCCATAATGCAACGCAAAATTCAGTCGCTCCCCCGCCCATCGGATGGAATTTTGGGAGAGCAGAACGCCCGAATTGGCCCAAACAATAACAATTGTAAACCGCTTTGTGACTCTGGTCTGTGAAAGGCGTTATATAAATAAAGATTACTTACTTTGTGTGGAGCTTTGAATGGGATCAAAGTAACAGCCTCTACACATGGAGAATAGACTACTACTACTTTGTGTCTCAACAATGGGTTTGATTCATGGTGGTGTGAGTCCTTGTATGGCTTTAGCATCAAAACCAACACATTTGCAGCTTAAAAAAACAAATCAGCCATTACATTTTTTGAACAAAAATGTCTACACGCAATCCATATCGACCGATTTCTAATCAGAACATGCATGAAGCAAATATATGGGTCTTATACTTTCATACTAACCGTGTGTGGACCTGCTGATGTAACAGGCTTTTTGTCACACTGAGATAAATTTGTCTCTTTCAAACATGAAACTACACAATCGTATTCTTTTGATATTAAACTTGACTCTATGCAGGGACCCAGCTGTTCCCTCGCCGTTTCAGCCTCTCCGCTGCAGTTACCATGACAACCATGTTAGCAAAATGAAACTAGCATTCCTTACATTATTCGGCCCTGTATTGTGTGTGCGTGTGTGTAGAGAGACGCGCAGAAATCTAATAAGACGTTTGGATGAGAACACAATAGTTTGATCCTTGAGAGAACTTCCAATCTCACAAATCTCAAGCCGTACCAAACACCCACCATTTTTCTTTGTGGAGAGGGCACCGGGTCAAACCAACTGCTCTGTGTCCCTGAGCCAAGTGCGCTTCTCGTCAAAAATCACTGTGTAGCTTTTTGGTAATGAAGCTGTCTGCAAGTGCGTTCTTTCATATCAAATGCAGAGGAAGACTTGTCCTACGGGGATAAATAAAGCTCATCTTCACCTTTACCTTGTTCAGTGAAATGAGATCTGGCAAGGAAAGTTTATTTGTATTGCACAGTTATAACACAAAGCATCTCAAAGTGCTGAACAGAACAAGATCAAAACAATCATTAATAATAAACTAGATATAGATGACTGACTTCATTCAATCAAGACCAAAGCTTATGGTGATTTCTTGCTCGTTCAGTTGTAGCCTTTATGCTTTTGGAAGAATAAACATCGAGAAGCGGTTGGTGTCGCAAATCAGAAAGCACTGCACAGTCAAAATGCAGATGTCCAGAAATGTTTTTTGTTCAAGATGACATTCGGGCTGAGTGGATAGCACTCTCGCCTCTCAGCAAGAAGGTCCTGGGTTCAAATCCCGGTCGGACCAGGGCCTTTCTGAGTGGAGTTTGCATGTTCTCCCCGGGTCTGCGTAGGTTTCCTCCCATGTTTCCACTAAAAACATGAACAATAGGTCTGTGCTGGCCCCGCTCCCATCTCTGTGTGGAGAGAGAGGACTGAGGCCCAAAAAATAACAATTGTAAAAACCGCTTTGTGACTCTGGTCTGTGAAAGGCGGTGTATAAATAAAGATTACTTACTTACTTACTTATTACTATTTTTTCTATTTTATATTAGGACAACAGTGTACAAGCATGAACATAGTAGAGAATCTAAATAATTAGTAATAAATAATACATTTTAAGTATGAAGTTAAACTCTACAGTACTACCTATTAGTTATGATTATATAGACTTATTGATCTCACACCGGAGAAATTTGTGACTTTTTTTCTGATATGAACTAAAATTACTGTAATTTAAAGATTACAGGAAATTTCTTCTTGAACATGCAGCTGATAAAGACATATCTCACATGGTATTTTTGATGATCAGATTCCTCTAAGGATGTCCCAATAGCCTACCACAAACTATTTTGAATACAACAGTACAACACCAGACATTTGCTTTAAGCTTGTAATGCTAATTACATTAATTTATTGCATAATTAGAACATGCATACCCTGCCAACACCACGTATTGTAGGCCAGCCTGCTTACACGCATGCACACACGATTCCAATAGCTCCCCTGGTGCTGCGGTATAAGGTTAGCATGCTGCTCTCTATGTAAACAAAAGCTCTGCGCTTGTCTCCTGTGTGAACTGTGACACGTCTGATTTAGGTGATTACATATGTTGCTGAGTTTAATGATCTACAGTTGTGTGTTCTCTGCATGATCCTCTCCTGCTCCCTGCTCAGTGACACATGCTGACTGAGATTGTCAATGTTGTCCTGACACCAGGAGCAAATACGAGCACATGGTATTTGGCCTCCCTAGATTTCTTCTTAGATTAGATCCAATAATATTGGCATACAATTTATTTTCAACCCCCAAAATACATGTTTTCTATTCACGTAAAGGTACTCAATGGACAAGTAATATATTTCAGATCAGGGAACAGGAGTTGACATTAAAAGTCTCCCATGCACCGATGTCATTCAGATTTTGACACTCTCGGCACCTGAGCCTGCACTGGTACCCCACAGAGCCCACAGGACGCCACAAACTAAACATGGCCTTTCTGGGAACGTATTGTTTGAGTTTTATTTATAGGGCAAATGCTGCTGGCAGAGGAGAGAAGAGGGACAAAGAGGCTCCTCTGTGAGTTACTGCGGAGTGTGAGAGGGAGACGTCACGCCAGGGCTGATATTTGGCACAGAACTATTTAAGGAGTGCCTCGAGAGCTTTATTTATGTTAGCATCTCATTAGATTTAAATGGTGTGAAAGCTTAGCATAGTGCCATGTTAAACTTTGAATATTCAACCCTTGTGCTATCCTTGGGTTGCCACAGTGATTAAAAAATACCTTTTAAATAAATCAAAAGTGACATTTTTCCTAACTTGACCAGCCCTGGGTCTTTTACACCTTTTATTCATCTGTGGCCGGTCATTTTGACCCAAGGGTTAAATAGATGTGAGAACCTTTATTTGTCCCACAGTGAGGACATTGTCACTGTAACCTCTTTGAATCATAGTTTGTCTTGGCTGTTTTTCTCATTCCATATGAGGATTTACTTATCAGGAATTATGTTTAAGTAAACAAGACATTGTACACATGTATATGAAATGTCATATTAAGTCTTGTTTTAAACCAAAATATACCTAAATCCTATTTTTTAACAATAAAAACAACGACTTCAAGCATTTATTAACTCTTTAGACACCAGTATTGTCAACAATTTGATGTGAAACAGGCAAAAAGGAGTGCCCTTAAACTCTATAGAAATGGAACACTACTAATTGGAAAAGTGTGAATAAATAAAAGTTTGTGGGAAGCTCATTTCTGCTGCTTTTGTGCATAAAGTGGTCAGTTAATATATAATAGTCATTGTTGTGATGGGAACTCCTTCATCTTCTCCTCTCTCTCTGATCTAATATGACGTTTAACACATAATTGTTCGTGAATGTGGAAAATGTTGAGCAAATCTTAAAAGTTAAAAATGCAATTGCGTAAAATAAGTGTTATAATTTATCAATATGTTTGTCACTTTTTATAACTAACCACTTATTTTCAGCCCTGATATTTGCTCTGCTTTACACTCAATTAAAACATTGTTTTTGTTTCTCTCCTTGTTCCAGGACATGAGAAAACATGTAATGATGACTCTTCTGGACACTGAGCAGTCATATGTGGAGTCGCTGCGAACACTCATTCAGGTAAATCCAATTCCACAAAACAAAGAGGCACAAGGACATTTTACTACGCGTCTGTGATCTAAGTGAGTCACCCGGTGTCTGCTCAGGATACGACTGGGTAACACCACAATTATGTAATCCACTTATTGTTATTCATCGTCAGGATAATCTGACCAACCTGACTCTCTTCGACAGCAGCAAGAAAAGCCCACACAGACATACGCAGTCTTTCATTTCATTGGATTCCATTATATTTATCATATCTCAATACAAGTGAAACTCTGAGTGCTAGAATATGATTGAGAAGTCCATTTACTTCTCTAATTCAACTTACAGTGTGAAATCTGTGCTGATCAGTGCCATACATCATTCTCACAGCAACGGTCGGCAAAACATAAAAACAAATACTTTCCTTTGGTCACCACTACATTACATTTGTTAATATTATTCTTGTTTTTCCCACCTCCGATCAGCATAGTTGTATAACTTGTCATTTGGCCTATTTCTTGTGTGGGCGATCTCTGCATGCGGTGCTGTTGAATTACAATACATTTTGATGGTTTGGAGTCTTTGCTACCCTCTGTGAATACATTAGAATTATTATCTATATGTGCATGACAGCGAAGTGTGATGCTGCTGTCCGTTCCCGTGGTTACGGAGAGTAGGGCTGCACAATATTGGCAATTAGAGCGATATTCGATATATGTGTTTAGTATTTCGATAACGATATTATTGCGATATTTTTGTTTTTCACCTAAAATTGCAATCTGCATTGAGACGCAAGAGACAAATAACAAAAAAAAGCACAACATTAATGACATTCAAATGCATATATTTATATCCTTTTGTGTTTGTTTGTTCTTGTTGAATGTTGATGTGTCTGTCTGTTTTGTTGTCTTTAACTTATTTTCGATATGGATATCACACACATTAGTATCGCGATAACGATTTTGATATATCGGGCAGCCCTGGCAAAGACACAAATGTTACCATAGCTACTGTAGCAACATTGTAGTCCGATAGTTTGATCTGTTTGGTGCTTTTAGAGCAAGTTTTGACCTGTATTAGACACAAATTAGTATTGAGTCCTCTGTGAGACAAATAAATCTCTTATCTTCCCTCAGAAGAAATGTCTCAAGATATGGATCACTTGAGAGATCACTTATTTTTTCACACACCTCTTTAGATGAACAAACTATCACATATAATTTATTATCAGAGTTATTCTAGTTCCATTGTAAATAATCGAAAGTCATAAACTAGGAATTTGCTTTGGTATATGGTGCCAACAAGTTATAAAAAAGTGATAACATTGATAACAAGGCATGCATAAAAAATCTTCATATAATTCTAATATTCTACTCACAATAGAAATTTAAGAGTGCAGTTTATCAATATGTATCCAGAGGTTTGAGCCGTTTTAATACATAAAGTGTAGCCTTTTTTCAGAACTAAGTACAACATTCGCACAAAACATCCAAATCCATCCTTCCTCTTTGGTGTGGCATCAGGAGTGACTGCTTGTTCTGTTTTGTCCAGGGCTACATGCGTCCTCTCAAACAGGCCGATGGTGGATCCATTGTGGACCCTTTGCTGGTGGATGAAATGTTTTACCAAATCCCAGAAATCCTGGAGCACCATGAGTACTTCCTGGATCAGGTCTCCGACTGTGTGAACCAATGGCACGACAGACAGACGGTCGGACATCTGCTCATCCAATCAGTGAGTGCAGACCACACCAGGACCACACCAGGACCACACCAGGACCACACCAGGACCACACCAGGACCACACCAGGACCACACCAGGACCACACCATGACCACACCATGACCACACCATGACCACACCATGACCACACCAGGACCACACCAGGACCACACCAGGACCACACCAGGACCCCACACCATGACCACACCATGACCACACCATGACCACACCAGGACCACACCAGGACCACACCAGGACCACACCATGACCACACCAGGACCACACCAGGACCACACCATGACCACACCATGACCACACCATGACCACACCATGACCACACCAGGACCACACCAGGACCACACCAGGACCACACCAGGACCACACCAGGACCACACCATGACCACACCATGACCACACCATGACCACACCATGACCACACCATGACCACACCATGACCCACACCATGACCACACCATGACCACACCATGACCACACCAGGACCACACCAGGACCACACCAGGACCACACCAGGACCACACCAGGACCACACCATGACCACACCAGGACCACACCAGGACCACACCAGGACCACACCAGGACCACACCAGGACCACACCATGACCACACCAGGACCACACCAGGACCACACCAGGACCACACCAGGACCACACCAGGACCACACCATGACCACACCAGGACCACACCAGGACCACACCATGACCACACCATGACCACACCATGACCACACCATGACCACACCATGACCACACCAGGACCACACCATGACCACACCATGACCACACCATGACCACACCATGACCACACCATGACCACACCAGGACCACACCAGGACCACACCAGGACCACACCAGGACCACACCAGGACCACACCATGACCACACCATGACCACACCAGGACCACACCAGGACCACACCATGACCACACCATGACCACACCATGACCACACCAGGACCACACCATGACCACACCATGACCACACCATGACCACACCATGACCACACCATGACCACACCAGGACCACAACAGGACCACACCAGGACCACACCATACACTCTCTCTGCTGTAGTGAGGTCGGCCTGACTTTAATGAATATTGTCCTTATTTTAACTTGACACACAAAGACAAGATGGTGGAAACTGTAATCGGACACTTCTGATATTGTTTTTCCTATTGTGCTACATGTGCAATAATATATCACAATGTATCCACTGACAAGTCACTTTATCTGATAATTATTATTTTGTCCATTGTCCTTTGTCCTTGTACCGCTAAATACATCTGTTTTAGCCATCACTGTATGGACTAATCATGAACCGCCACTCTGATTAAAAGGAGACAAAAAATCCCCTAACATTTTTTATCCATCTGAATTTTGAGGATTTTTACTGACTTTAGACTCTCATTAGATCATTTGAGCAAAGGACAGTAACTTGTTGGTTTTATATGATTGTATTTATTCTATAATGTGTACAGCTGTTTATTCCGTACGGTGCACTACAACCACTGTGGGAAAAAATAAAGTTTCTCTTATCTTAGATTGATAACATCACAATGCTGATTGACTGGTGACAAATAAACCATTAAGTTTGCACTTTCTCGGCAGCATACAGTAAAGAAACACACAGATATCTTGCTAAACACTGACATTATCCCTTTGTCGTAGGGCTGTAACAGGATCATCGCAGGTTAATTGCAGCTAATCGATTATTTAAACAGTTGTCAACTAATTTAGGAATCAATTCATAATTTTTTTAACCACACATTGACATAAACACGGTAAGAAGAGGTTTTAAGTATTTCTAATCGAACACCCCAATATGTAACCAGTAATCTCTGTGAATTTGTTCTCAAAGGGCATCACTTGATTAAAAAATTGACTTTTCAGGAAGTAAGCAACTAATTGATGAATGAAAAGAATGCTCTGCCAGCTTATCGATTGTCAAAGTGGTAAATAATTAGACTTATTTACTTCTGTATTGCTTTAACGTAGGATGTTTTTACCTGCTCAATAGATAAACTGCTCAATACTTAGTATATTATATAAAGATTACTTACTTACTCTGTAGTTCCTGTGTTTTGTGAGCTTATTATAGTTTTGTTGAAATGCTAAAATCCAGTCCTGGTTTTCTCTCCTGCTCAGGACCAGTTCTCACGGCCCTTCCCCCGCTGTAGCTCTTAAAGCGACTGTAGAGTGGTAGCTTCTCAGGCCTCGTTGGCGCAGTAGGCAGCGCGTCAGTCTCATAATCTGAAGGTCGTGAGTTCGAGCCTCACACGGGGCAAGTGTTTTGCTCATGAGCTGATCTTTATGGTGCTTTTTGACGACGGTAATTCCAGGATTTAACATGTTTCAATTCGTCACAAAATTAATATTAAGCTTTTAACAGAAGCCAAACAGAACAGGCGTCTGCTAATGTTACTTCACAGAAATGCAGTCAAGTCGCTTTTAAAAGAAAAACCTCGATAATAATGACCAACTGGCTTTTTAAGATGTTATACTTGTAATTCTTATTTGGTCATTTGTACAATCTGAATTTTGTACTGTAGACCCCCGTTATATCTGTATTACTGCTAAACATTATTATCTGAAGCACTGTAAGTCTTTGTTTTACCCACATTGTTTCTACAGTATCTATATCTTAAGCATGAGTCATTAAATCTCAAGTGATGACATCTTCTGTTCTTATGCAATGTGAGACACATTAACTAAGCTCTTCTTCATGCTTAATTATCTTTTTTATGTCGCATAGTAATTAAGTATCACTATGTAGTTCATGAGGTGCACATGTCAGTTTACATCCGGCATGTCACACATTCAGATTTTTTCAATTTGTCATTTGGAGTTTAGCATTAGATTTTCGAGCCCATCCAGGCCTGTAAGCATTTTGGAACTTTTGAGTCTGTATTTTGTTTTACTAAATGGGTCATGTGATTTGTATTTAACTTGTCTGTTTTCTAGACAGGGTTCACACATTCAGCATGAAAATCCTGTTTTAAAGAGCAGACAGTGGTTTTTCAGGCCTCGTTGGCGCAGTAGGCAGCGCGTCAGTCTCATAATCTGAAGGTCGTGAGTTCGAGCCTCACACGGGGCAAGTGTTTTGTTCATGAGTTCAAAAACCTTCCAACTCAAAATAAAATGTAGCTTTAAATAAAACTACACCAGAACAGGAGTCTGCTAATGTTTATTTACAAAAATGCATTAAAGTCGGTTTAACCTTTGTGCTATCCTCAATAGACCAACCAGAGATTGAAAAAAATACCCTAGATATTATTTTTTTTCAAGCAAAAAAAATCCTGGTTCATTTAAATCCTTTTAGACCCTAATTTAGGGTATTTTTCATCTACTTTTAATCATCTGTGGCTGGTCATTTTTAGCACAAGGGTTAACAAGTAATGTACACCTTTTACCATTCTTTACTTTCCTTATAACATGAAAATAACATCAATAAAGACCAGCTGGTTTATGGTGTCAATTTACCACCCCAACATACCGCTTAATTAATCTGTTTTATAGTTGGAATGAGTTCAGTTTTATCAAGCCAACTTCAGCTCTGCCAAAGTTGAAGTTGTGAAGCTAGGAAACACATTGAACAGTTGTTGGTTATGTCCATGCAATTCAATATATTTTCATATAGCTCTAAATAACAACAGTTGTTTCTGAGGACGTTATAAAGTTGTTGATTCAACAGTACAGATCAGAGAATCAAATGGTTAAAACTCAGGAAATGCAATAATAACAAACACACATGGGAGTCATTGGGCCATAAGGAGCAGATGACCAATGTCCATAAATGTTAATCAATGTCCTGGATCAACGCCACTGTCTTTAGACCCTCCTGCATCAGCAATGAACAACTAAACACAGAAAAAACCTCGAGGAGGCCCACTCCCACAAACAGTCAGGCTGTAGATCCAGGCTGCCCACAGCCAGGGAGGGGGTTGCAGCCCATCAGTCAGGGCCCAGGGAGACCGTTCACAGGTGCAGGTGAAAGGGGCTGGATTCAGGGCTCCCATCATGATACAGGGACAGATTCTTCCAATTTTCACTTGGTTAAGAGCCTGGAGTTCATTAACTGAATCAAATACAAGCCTGTAAGAGTTTTGGGAGTTACTGAACTACTGAAAAGTACCTTTATATTCTTGTGTCTTTGTTTTGTTTTACAAGTAATACAAAGTAATTTGCATTGGAGTTGTTTCCCCTCTAAAAACGGTTAAATCTGCTCAGCATGAAAAACCTCCTTTTGCAAATTGTAATTCAGCTGACTTTACACCTTCCTGTCTCGTACTTGCATATACTGAACCTTTAACTAAAAGTTGCTGTTTTATTTTTTCAGTTCTCCAAAGAAGACTTGGCTAATATGTATTCAGCCTACATTGACAATTTCCTCAATGCCAAAGACGCCGTGAGGATTGCCAAAGAGGCCAAGCCAGCCTTTCACAAGTTTTTGGAGGTGAGAGCGATGTGCCGTTTACTCAGAGCTTCTGCTTTTGTGTCAGTGTCTGTCTGACTCTACCTGGGAAGAGACACCTCCAGCAGTCTATGTGAGGCTAGTTCTCTGTATTCAGTGCATAAATGCATAAATCAGAGGTGTCAAAGTCCTGTCTGCAAACAGCTGTGCAACAAAAGACAAGAATATGTTTGTATCTTTTGCGTTATTGAGATAAACTTGACTTTATTCCTCTGCACACTTTGCATTATGTTTTGTATTAATAAAAACGTTCCCTCTGATAGACCTTTTTTATTTTATTTTTTATTTTTCACTCTTAGCAAAACATGCGAGAGAACAAAGAGAAACAAGCCCTGGGTGACCTGATGATCAAGCCCGTCCAGAGGATCCCTCGGTATGAGCTCATTGTGAAGGTAAGCAGGTGGAAATGGTCACATGTCCTCATCAACTTGTTCTGTTCAGTTTCTGGGTGGCTAATCCAACTTTCTCTTTCTATAGGACCTGCTCAAGCACACTTCAGAGGACCACCCAGACCACCCCTACCTACTGGACGCACAAAGGGACATCAAGCGGCTGGCGGAGAAGATTAACAAGGGCCGGCGCTCGGCTGAAGAGGCCGAGAGGGAGGCCAGGGTCATCCAGGAGATTGAGGCGCATATCGAAGGAGTGGAAAATGTACTATTGCTTTATACTATATTGTTCATTATCGTCCATTTTTTTATCGCACACATTACTGGGAAAAGCAGTCATGCTCACCGGTGGACTATCTCGAGTCCACATGTTGAAGCTATAGTTATTTCCACTGCGCGTGATTGTCAAATGCACTGTAAACATCAGACTTAAATGAAAACATAAACAAAAGAGTAGCCTTTATTAGACAATTCAATTCATTTCTACTGTTAAATAGTTCTGTACGCTGTAAAAAAGGAGAGGGTGAGTAGCCTATATTAGACAATCCAAATACCATAAGTAAATTATGCGATTAATTTCAAGTTAACTGACATTAATGCCGTTCATCATGATTAAATAGTTTAAACGTTTGCCAGCACTAGTTTCTGTAGCTTTCAGAATAAAACGTATGGTATTTTTTGTCCATCCTTTTGCTTGTGGCTAATCAGTTTACACTTGTTCTGTTTGTTTATGACAGATCCTGAATCCCCAGAGGAAGTTCTTGAGACAGGAAATAGTCATGGAGGCGGTAAGAGTTTGCCTATTACAGTCATTATTTGTGCAGTGATGAAGAACAATGTATTTATAGATGTTGTATACACATTATTAGTGTAACATGTTTTCATAGAGGGTTTTTTTTTTTTTTCTTCCGGCGCCAGCTCCCGCTGTGCAGCTCGTCACTTTGGCTCTCTTCTCTTTCCGACCCTTTCTCTATTTATTTCTTGTAGATGTGTTTTTTAATTTTTTATTTTCGTAGACAAGCGTTTATTTGTGCACTGTGCACACGGGAAGCCTAGCCTCGTGGACCTTCGCACTGGATTAACATGACTTCGGCACTTTTTTCGGAGTTCTCCGCTCACAGAGCCACGAGACCAGCGTGTCCCATTGTTTACACACGGGAGCAGCTTCTCGGACTTAGAGACTCCGCTTTCCGGCACTCAGAGAAGCCGGTGATCCCCTTGGAGATCCGTAGGAGACGCAGGGGCTCCAGAGGAGGCCGAAAGAGAAAGAGGAGACCGTATCTCCCCTCCATCCTCATGGGGAACTTACGGTCCATCTCTAATAAGACTGAGGAGCTGACCGCACTGGTCCGCCATCAAAGAGAGTACAGACAATGTGGACTTATGTGTTTCTCTGAGACGTGGCTGTGTGGGAATATACCGGACTCTGTGGTCGCGCTGGAGGGATTTAAACTTGTGCAAGCGGACCGCTGCGCGGAGGGGAGTGGGAAGAGGAAAGGCGGGGGTGTCGCGGTCTACGTGAACGAGCAGTGGTGCATCCCGACGCACGTGCATGTGGTCCAGCGCACATGCACCCAGGACCTGGAGCTGCTCGCTGTGAGCATGAGACCCAGGTATCTGCCGCGGGAGTTTTCACACACCGTGGTTCTATGTGTTTACATTCCCCCGTCAGCAGACGCAGCCGCAGCATGTGAGGAGATGCACAGAACTGTGACCCAGATCCAGACCTGCAGTCCCCGCGCTCTGATTCTGATCAGCGGAGACTTTAACCACGCCTCCCTCTCCGCCACTCTCCCGACATTCAAACAGTATGTCACGTGCCCAACTCGTGGCAATAAGACTCTGGACCTACTATATGGTAATGTGCGGGACGCATACACCTCCTCCCCCCTCCCCCCTCTCGGACGCTCTGATCACAGTCTGGTCCGTCTGTCTCCGGAATACACACCAGTGGTAAGAAGAAATCCAGCGCAGAAGAGGATTGTAAAAGTGTGGAGCGATGATGTGGATGAGATGCTGAGAGATTGTTTTCAAAACACTGATTGGGAAATGATCTGCAGCTCTCATGGTGAGGACATTGAAGGCCTGACACACTGCATTACAGACTATATTCTCTTCTGTGTGGATAACACTGTACCAACTAAGAAGGTGCGGTGTTTCTCTAACAACCACCCATGGGTGACCCCTGAGCTTAAAGCCCTCCTGAACCTCAAGAAAAGGGCTTTCATCTCAGGGGACAGGGAGGAGCAGAAGAGGATCCAGCACGAGCTCCAGTGGAGGATCAGGAGGGCCAAGAAGGACTATGGGAAAAAGCTGGAGCAGAAGCTGGCCCAGGGAAACGCCCGCGACGTGTGGAGAGGCCTAAAGAACATCTCTGGCTTTGGACAGAGTGCCAGAGGAACAGCGGATGGAGACCAGCACCGGGCGGACGAATTTAACCAGCACTTCAACCGGTTTGATTCTCCCCCCTCTCCATCTGCCCCCCCTTCCGCCCCCACCTCTTCACACGTCTCCAGCCCAGTGGACACCGCCCAGTGGACACTGCCTCCGGCTGCCCCGGGCCCTCCTGCCCCCGCATCCCCAGCCCCCACCTCGGACAGTACACCCCAGTCCCCCCCCCTCTCCATCACACCGGACCAGGTGAGGAGTCAGCTCCAGCGCCTGAAGCTGAGGAAATCCGCAGGACCGGACGGGATCAGTCCCAGGCTGCTGAGGACCTGTGCAGACCAGCTCTCTGGGGTCCTCAGCTACATGTACAACCTGAGCCTCAGCCTGGAGAAGGTCCCTGTCCTGTGGAAGACCTCCTGTGTGATCCCGGTCCCAAAAACAGCACACGCCAAGGAACCGGCTCACTACAGACCCGTCGCACTGACCTCCCACCTGATGAAGACAATGGAGCGGCTCATCCTCACCCATCTCCGCTCCGTGGTCAGCCCCACCCTGGACCCGCTGCAGTTCGCCTACAGGCCCAACATCGGAGTAGAGGACGCCGTCATCTACTTCCTGCAGCGGACGCTCTCCCACCTGGAGCCCGCCGGGAGCGCTGTGAGGGTCATGTTTTTCGACTTCTCCAGCGCTTTCAATACCATCAGGCCGGCACTGCTGCGGGGGAAGATGGAGGACGCGGGAGTGGACAGTAGCCTCACTGCATGGACCATCAACTACCTCTCAGACCGACCACAGTACGTGCGGCTGCGCAGCTGTGAGTCTGAGGTGGTAGTCTGCAGCACTGGGGCCCCTCAGGGCACTGTCCTCTCACCGTTTCTCTTCACCATCTACACCTCAGACTTCACACACGACACACACAGCTGTCACCTGCAGAAGTTCTCCGACGACTCCGCCATCGTGGGCTGTGTGTCTGAGGGGAACGAACTGGAATATCGGTCGGTTATCAAGGACTTTGTCGACTGGTGTGAGCGCAACCACTTGTGCTTGAACACCAGTAAGACCAAGGAGATGGTCATCGACTTCAGAAGAAAACCACTTTCCCACACGCTGCTGAACATCCAGGGGGAGGACATTGAGCTGGTGGACAGCTTCAAGTACCTGGGTGTTCACATTAACAATAAACTGGACTGGTCCATTACACCAACGCCCTGCACAAGAAGGGCCAAAGTTGCCTCTTCCTTCTGAGGAGGCTGAGGTCCTTCTGAGTGAGCAGGCCTCTGCTCAGGACTTTTTATGACTCTGTGGTAGCTTCTGCCATTTACTACGCTGCTGTGTGCTGGGCCCCGGGCAGCACAGAGCGGGACAGAAACAGACTGAACAAGCTGGTCAGGAGGGCCAGCTCCACTCTGGGCTGCTCCCTGGACTCTGTGGAGGAGGTGAGGGACAGGAGGGTGCTAGTCAAAGCCACCTCCATCATGAACAATACCTCCCACTGCACAGGACTGTAGAGGAGCTGAGGAGCTCCTTCAGTGGAAGACTGAGGCACCCTCAGTGTAGGAAGGAGCGCTACCGCAGGGCCTTTATCCCCACCGCTGTCAGACTGTACAATAAGTCACTTTAAATGATCACTGTGAAAACCTGCACTACTATTGACACTGTTTCCAATTGACACTTGTCACTTTTGTTGTACATAATTATTGTCACTTTATTGTACATATATCCTGCATGTAACATGTTTGCACATTTCCTCCCTTTGCACAATCTGAGTGTCTCTATCCATGCCAAATGTGACATGTACATTTCTCCTCTGTGAGATAAATAAAGCAATCTTATCTTATCTTATCTTGAGTTGTGTTCTTTGTCTGTACAGAAAAATGTTGGAGGGAAGAAGGACCGCTCTCTGTTTCTCTTCAGTGATCTGATCATCTGCACCACCCTCAAGAGGAAGTCTGGCTCGTTAAGACGCAGCTCCATGAGCCTGTACGCTGCACACTCGCACCTCCACCACCAACAGTCACTCGGACACATAGTAAAGCCAAAGAGCTTATGTATCTCCTCTCAAACTGAATCTCAACTATGTTTTACAGTAACACCAAGCTTTAATTTACAGTCACAGTGTAAAACATGAACTGAGAATGTTCTGTCGTCTTGTATTAAAGTCCTGACTTTGTTTTCAGATACTCTGCTGCAAGTGTCATCGATACCTCCAGTAAATATAAGTTCCTGTGGAAGCTTCCGCTTGAAGATGTGGAAGTTATAAAAAGTAAGATCAACATTCACATGTGTATTTTACTATTATAATTTTAAATATGGTCATACCTGCATGTGATTCTGACTATCTCAGAAGCTAAATATGGCAGGGCCTGGTTAGTACTGTGATGGGAGACTTGTGGGAACATCTGGTGCCACAGTGGGGCAGCTGTGAAGTGTCAAACTGATGTTGTATCCTTGGGCCTGACACTTCACCCACAGTGTCTAGAAAGAGTCTGGTGTGAGTGAATGATTGATGGAAGTCAGAGAGAGGCCGATGGCACAGATGAGTAGCCTTGCTTCTGTCTGTGTGCCCCAGGGCAGCAGTGGCCGCTGTAGTTGTTTAACACCACCATGTATGAAGTGAATGAATAATGCCAAATGTCTATGAGAGCTCCAAAAAGTGCAGTATAAAACCATTGCATTGTTAAATGTATTAGACATATTCATAAATAAATGCATTTAACAATAAATTAAAACAATGTGTTTTCTAAGGCTCCTCACAGACGACAAACAGGGAAAGCCTCCAGAAGAGCATCAGCCGCCTGGATGAGGACCTCAGCACACTGGGACAGCTCAGCAAACTGTCAGACACCATCAACTGTCCACACCAGGTGCAGCACTATTCTTTCTCTGTCACTGTTCTGCTACAAACATTATTCAACCTTTTATGTGTTTTTTTTTTTTTTTAATATATATATTTTTTGCGTCATTGGTTTTGTGCAGACCCTGAAGCTGTAAGAATGGGCAGCATGGTGCCTTCACTTTTGATCACAGTTCTGTCTGCAGGATCCAGGGTCAATTGTTTTGTACTTTCCAAACAATACTAGCCACTGGGTCACTACAATTTCAAAAATGCAAAAAATAAAAACGTTTTATCACATAAAAAGTCGTTTAATGTCCATTTAAAACATGTTAACTTTAAATGTATTTGATAGGGACAGTGCACATTAATGATCATAAGTATTTACATTGTATGAACGTACATACGTACGTACACACACACACACACACATACAGTGTTGTTCATCTTTAAATCTTGTCCATCTTTTTCAGGCTTTGGATGAGGTTATTAAAGACCTCGCGGCTTCCATCCACAGAGAACTGTCAGAGAAGCAGTCGTTGGCCTTCAGCATGACCTTTCTTCCCACCAAGTTAGAACTGACCACATCCTCTGCAGAAAGCAGCTTTGTCTTTGAATTCAGCTCTCCTGATGTTCGCTCCAACTTTGAACAAGCTTTTGAAGAAGCAAAGAAGAAGCTAGGTACCGAAGCCTTACACAAATTTAAAATGAACCAAGTTTGTGAAATTAATTATCTTCTAATTATTGTCAGCAATGAACAAGGACCAGTGGGATCCAGAGTTTTTAAAGGCAATCCCCATTATGAAGACCCGCAGTGGGATGCAGGTAAGAATGCCTTTTGACTATCACTAAATGCATGTTTAAAGGAAACCACTTCAGCAGTTTGTGTTACATTTGTTACAGTTTTCATGTGCATCTCCAAGTCACAGCTGCCCTGATAGTGGCTGCGAGGTGTGGGTCTGCAATAGTGATGGTTACGTTGGACAGGTACCATATCCTTATTTCTTTCTTCTATTTTTTGGAGATCCCTAATTGCATTACTATGGTTGTCCTTTAGGTTTGTCTGTTAAATATCAAAGATGAGCCAACAGTAGAGGCCTGTATCGCTGTGTGCTCTGCCAGAATTATTTGCATTGCTGCTGTACCAGGACTGACGGCGAGGTAGACCCCGAATGAGTATTATCTGGTTTTGAGTTTTAACATTTAGCATAGACTTTAACTGTAATTGTTTTCCTTTTTTGTCCAGGGAGCAAGTGTCAGCGAGAACTCAGCTTCCTACAATACCAAGTCAAAGCCAACAGCAGCTCCACATCTCCATCTCGCGTTCCTCTCTTGAGGTGACAGAGCCCCCTACAGGTCTGTCTAATACATTACACTCTGCATGAGCAGCAGTTTCTGTCTAGTCTGAATGATAAACTTTTAAAACATTTTTTAAAAGAGATGTGCGTTTTTGTGAATGCACACACACTCACACACAATCAAATGTCTTCTCATTAATCAACTCCAATGATTCATGCATGTTTTGAGATATTTGAATTCTAGCGCATTTGTTTTGAAACACAAAAATTACTTTCTGGAACCGGTTTGACACCCCTGTTATAGACTGTATCAAAACTGCAGGTCCCAGAACGGAGCTGGTTCCTTTTGACAGCGATGACACCGACGATGAAGATTCACCAAGTCCCTCTTCAACTCTACAGAGTCAAGCCAGTCACTCTACTATTTCTTCTAGCTATGGCAGTAAGTTCCACCACTCTCAACTACACATTAAATTAAAAACACAATTCTAATTCATACACTAAAAATGGAGTCATAGCTTGAGTACCTTTTTGTTTTACATATACAGTGGGGGGCCTGTTTTCTTTTTTTTTTCTTTTTCTTTTTTTTACTAAGAAATCTGATCTAAAGATGTGACTGAGGCCAAAACACATTCATGTGAAAACTACAGTCACAGTTTTAGTTTTAGTTCGCGCTTTTTTGGACGCTCAAAGGCACCTCACATTGCAATTCATTCACTCCATACACAACTACCACCAATCATTCACTCACATACTAGACTCATACAAGACAATGTGAGTGAAGTGTCTCGGGTAAAAGCACAACAGCAGTTTGGCACTTTACAGCTGCAGCAGTGGTCTTTGCACAGCCAGGCTGGCGCCACCTAGTGCCTCCACTCAGTTTCACTCGTCAGGGCGTTTTTAAAATCCACATCTGGTCACTTCGCTTTTCCGTTACGGTTAACTCTGTCCTAACCTTTCATGACCTGTGAACACATCCACAGTGTAGTGCTCCTCCTCCTCCTCATAATTTAAACCCTGTTTGATTACAGTTGATGAAGGTACGAGCTCCAAAGACATGGCAGCAGAGACCACCAGCAGTGAGGAGGAGCAGGAGTTCCCCTCCGCAGGCTCGTACGTTTCCTCCGGGACGTTGGGTGTCGGAGGCGGGAGTCGACCTCAGGCAGAGAGCCCGATGGACGGTCGTGCCATGCGCCGCTCCTCCAGGGGGTCCTTCACTCGGGCCAGTCTAGAAGATCTGCTCAGCATCGACCCCGAGGCCTACAAGAGCTCAGTGTGGCTGGGAACAGAGGACGGATGGTACGATTACAACAAGAAAATCCCATCAACTGTAATCCTTTGTTTGTGACTCTGATAGTAGAGCTTTCTCTCTGTATCCTCCTCATAGCATCCACGTGTACCAGTCGTCTGACAACATCCGTAACAGGAAGAACAGCATGAAGATTCAGCACAGTGCCTCGATCCTCTGTATACTGTGAGTCATGCTTTACTGGCAATGTTGCTCAAGAGATGCCAAATATTTTATGTGGGTTTTTTTGTCCCAGGTACTTGGACAACAAAGTGTTTGTGTCATTAGCCAATGGAGAAGTGATAGTTTACCAAAGAGAAGTTGGTGAGTATTAGGGTGGGGGATTTTACTTTTTTTGTGTTTTTTTCTTATTTATGTCTTTACTTACAGGGAGCTTCTGGGACTCGCAGTCTTCCCAGATCTTAGTTTTGGGCACAGCCAGTAGCCCTGTCACTAAGATGGTTCCTGTGGGAGGAAAGCTGTGGTGTGGCTCACAGAATAGAGTGCTCATTATCAACACGAGCACTCTGGAGCAGGAGGTGGGTGGAACATCTGCTTTACATTACATTAGTGATGATACAGCTGAAGAACTCTCTCCTAGGATGCACAGGGTCTCTGCTTCGCAGCCACTGGCAGTCTAGTTAGAGGAGAGACCCGGCTGGGGCCCTGTCATGAAGCCACCTGTGCCATTCCTTTAGTGATAACACAAAGAATACATTACAGAAAGACATCTGGAGTTAATCAGTCTAATCTGTAAAATCTAATTCTTGTTCCGTGTAAGAATCAGCCGACCACAACCGCTGATACTGAAACTTTGAAACTTGCTATGCTAAATGTCAGATCTCTTTCTAACAAGTCTTTTTTAATCAATAATTTTATTTGTTCTTATAATCTTGATCTTATGTTCATGGCTGAAACATGGCTTGACCAAAATACAGAAAATGCAGTTTTAATAGAAGCATCACCACCAAATTTCAAATTTGAATCTGAAATACGGGAAAACAAAAAAGGAGGAGGCTTAGCTGCCATTTTCAGAGACCACTTGGTCTCCCATAGAATGTCTCTTGGGAAATTTCCGTTTTTTGAATATGTGTCTTTTAAAATACAACAAAAACAATCTCCTCCAATACTCTTCATAGTCCTATACAAGCCACCGCAGTCATGTCACAGTTTTATTGATAATTTTACCGAGTTGCTTTCAGTTGTATGCACAGATTTTGATAGTTTAGTTATTACAGGTGATTTTAATATTCATGTGGATAATGTTGATGACAGAAATGCAAAAGAGCTGAGTTCTTTACTTGATACCTTTGGTCTCACTCAGCATGTGAGTGGCCCCACCCACAGCAGAGGGCACACTCTAGACCTGTTAGTTACAAAGGGGGTGAATATTTCAAATATAAGCGTGGTCGATGTTGCTCTTTCGGATCATTTCTGTGTATTTTTTGACATGTGTTTCACTAACAAACCACCAGTGGACTCTGCAACTGTTCGAAGAAGACACATAAATGAAAATACGAGTGATCTATTTATGGGAATGATAAACTTTGAGAATGCATCGTATTCTACTGTAGATGAACTGTTTAACTCTGTCACCTCTAGTGTTTTGAATGTTCTGGATACCGTTGCCCCTGTGAAGGTTAAAATAGTGAAAAATAAGCAGAAGGCGCCGTGGGCTAAAGCAGACTCGGTCAGGGCACAAAAGAGAAAGTGCCGGAGGGCCGAGCGGAAGTGGCGCAAGTCCAACCTCCAGGTTGATTACAAGATCTTCAAAGATAAGTTGTGCGAGTTTAACCGGGGGCTACGTAGTACGAGAGAAAGGTATTTTTCTGAAATGATTGAAGGCTGCAGTAACAATCTGCGTGTTCTGTTTTCAACAGTTAATAGATTAACAAACCCCCCTGTTCAGATGCCATTAGAGCTAACTTCCAAACGTAAATGCAATGAGTTTGCACACTTTTTCAATGACAAGGTTCAAGGCATCAAAAACGCCATTGTCTCCAATCCACAGATAACAATCCAACAGCCAGAAAGGCTCTCTGAGCTAACTTACTTTGCACCTGTAGATGATCAAACTGTCCAAGAGATAATCTCCAGTTTGAGCTCCTCCACATGCAGCCTGGATGTACTACCCACTAGATTTCTGAAGTCTGTTCTGAGCAGTCTGTTACCTTCACTCACACAGATAGTAAACATGTCCCTTCATTCTGGAATATTCCCAAAGGCCCTGAAAACGGCAGTCATCAGGCCCCTGCTAAAAAAGAGCAGCCTGGATGCTACGGTACTTAACAACTATCGTCCCATCTCAAATCTGCCATTTATGGGGAAAGTCCTTGAAAAAGTTGTCTACCTACAGCTTACTAGATTTCTTATAATTAACAACTCATTTGATATGTTTCAGTCCGGCTTTAGACCCCACCACAGCACTGAGACTGCTCTTGTCAAGGTTACAAACGATATCCGGCTGAACACTGACGCAGGCAAAGTCTCAATCTTAATCTTGTTAGATCTGAGTGCTGCCTTTGACACCGTCGACCATGAGATCCTCTTACAGAGATTAGAGGACTGGGTTTGGAGTCGCTGGCACCGCCCTAAGTTGGTTTAGGTCTTACCTTGAAGACAGGAAGTACTTTGTGGAGATTGGAGACTGTGTCTCAGATCATATGACCCTGACCTGTGGAGTCCCACAGGGGTCGATCCTGGGACCTCTTCTTTTCAATCTCTACATGTTGCCGTTAGGTCAGTTAATACGCAGAAACAAAGTGTCCTATCACAACTATGCAGACGACACTCAGATCTATGTCTCACTGACTGCAGGAGAACATGGACCAGTGGACTCACTCCTTCACTGTATCCAACAGATCAGTGAGTGGATGCAAAACAACTTCCTTCAGCTAAACGCAGACAAAACTGAAATGATTGTCTTTGGTCCCCAGAAACAAAGAGAGAGCGTCATCTGTCACCTACAGTCTCTCTCCCTAAAACCTTCAAACAAGGTCAGAAATCTAGGGGTAATACTGGACTCAGACTTAAATTTTAATAGCCACATCAAATCAGTAACATCAGCAGCTTTTTACCATCTAAAAAACATTGCCAGGATCAAAAACATAGTGTCTAAAGCAGACTTGGAGATTCTTATCCATGCATTTGTCTCCAGTAGGTTAGACTACTGCAATGGCCTGCTCACAGGTCTGTCCAAACAGGCTGTAAAACAGCTGCAGTACATTCAAAATGCAACAGCTCGAGTCCTGACTAGAACCAGGAAGTACGACCACATTCCTGTGGCTCAGAGAATAGACTTTAAAACAGCTCTGCTTGTGTACAAATCTCTCCATGGCCTCGCACCAAACTATATTAGTGACATGTTAGTCCCATATGAACCAGCCCGGACTCTGAGGAGCACAGGGACTGGACTCCTGTTAGTGCCCAGAGTCAGAACTAAACATGGGGAGGCTGCTTTTCAGATTCATGCTGCTAAAATCTGGAACAGTCTTCCTGAAGATGTGAGACAGGCCTCCTCTCTGACAATGTTAAAGACAAGGTTGAAAACAGTTCTGTTTAGCTGTGCATACAACTGAGGGATTTTATATTTTTATCTTTTTTGAATGTACTGTGATTATTTATGATTTTAATGCTTTCTTGTTCTGTTCAGCACTTTGAATTGCCTTGTGTATGAATTGTGCTATATAAATAAACTTTCCTTGCCTTGCCTGTTCTCTGCAGCACTCTTTCCAGGTGGGCTCAGACAGCAGCCGCTGCGTCACCTGCATGGTGGCCTACGGGCACGGAGTGTGGCTGGCCCTGCAGGGCAGTGCACACGTCAGGCTGTACCACGCTCAGACCTGGGAGGCTCTGACCGAGGTGGATGTTGCTCCCTCTGTGCACAAGATGCTTGCAGGTAAGCATTTAGCCAAGCTAAATTATGTATTGCAATTACTATTATTTGTTTTGCACATTAAATCTGCTGTTTTTAGATTCTTAGTATACATTAGAACCAATGAATTATTAATTATTATAAGAGGGAACTTACTACCTTCAGTAATACTGTACATCATCTTCTTTAAAAAATACCATACTGTACCTCCTTTTAAAGATGTCGGTACCTTTTTAAAAAAAAAATTATTGAAAAAGGAAAAATAGATTGCAATTTATGGCTGTTACCACATATATTAAATAATGAAAGCAAATAACTATACTAATACGGTTGTTCAAACCATTAAAAGTGAAATAAAGATTAATCAATATTCAGAGTCCCTCTTCCGCTCAAATAATCCATATCCATTGGATACTTTGTCACAGTCTCCTAATAATAACTCCAAATCCTGCTGTGATGTTATTCCTCAGGCGCTGATGCCATCATCCGGCAGCACAAAGCAGCGTGTCTGAGGATCACAGCTCTTCTGGCCTGTAAAGACTTGCTCTGGATCGGCACCAGTGCTGGTGAGTGAGACCCAGACGTGTGGCACTGGAACACGTGTCATATTGACTGGGTGTAAAAATCACATGTCTTTGCTCTATTTCAGGCGTAGTTCTCACTCTGCCGACCCCTAAAGTGAGCTCAGGGACCATGCCGGGCACCCTGAAGTCCCCTCTGGTCCCTATGGGTTCAGCACATGGTCACACGGGTCATGTCCGCTTCCTGACCGCTATAGAACTGCCAGAGGGATTCGACATAAAGTTAGACGCTCTCTCAAATGACACCTCAGGTTTGTGGGAACGCGGTTAGTAAAGCACAAAACAAAATCGGTTCTCTTTTATGCTTCTGTTTTTTCCAGTCACCAAAGCAGCAAATTCCAGTCATGTGGACAGTCCGCTCCAGAGGCGGGACTCTGCACGGCGTCGGGCTTCAGCTCACCTCGTCCCTTTGAACAATCACTTGGTCATCTCTGGAGGGGACGGATACGAGGACTTCAGACTGAGCAACAGCAGTGAGACAGTGGGACGCGATGACAGCACCAACCACCTCCTGCTCTGGAGAGTCTGAGGCTGCTCATTCTGAACGCTGCCCCCAGACTCGCCGGTGTTTTGCCTTTAATGCCTGGTCCCACCCCTTGATAATCTAAAAAGACTCTGGTGTTGTTCAGGTGTGAGCTGTATGTCACTGGCTGCTGTTTGTGCTTGTGCCTTTCTGTCTACGCGTCATTCAGTCTGAAAAAGTGTGAGTGAAGACCGAGAAGGGAAGATTCAGACGGAGGAAAATGGTGCATTGGAACCTTATTTAAAAAGTTTGCTCCCTCATTAGGGGCTTAAACACTGACACTCAATGGAACTTTGCGGTCGGACTCCCCCTGCTTCGAACAAATCTATGTAAACTATGGCAGCGTGTGTTATACTCTTGCATTTATTGTGTAACGTTTACATCTGCTAGCAGTTAAGGCGATAGAAAACGTGCGCGCTGATCAAGAGCGGTCGACGAGACAGTGTTCACCTCTTTGTGTCGTTTTTACTGCTCATTTTAGTCACGTCCATCCTGTTTTCGTGTGGAGGAAGATGTTTGTAATGGCATCACTGAAGTGCAATACAGTATTATTGAATACATACAACACAGTACACGACACAGACAAACGTTCACAAGACACTGACTGATTTCCCTTGATATGGCCACTCTGCTGGAGGTCACTCGAAGTGCATTCATCCCCAAGTCATTATGCCAAAGCTTTGAACATGTAAACGTAATGACCTGAAGGGACTTTGTGTGTGTATCTGTGTGTGTGTGTGTGTGTGTGTGTGTGTGTGTGTGTGTGTGTGTGTGCACGTGTGTGTCTGGAGTGAAAGCCAAACAGATATTGGCCACTTCTTGTAGATGTGTGTAGAGATGAGGCTCAGCTGTGGTAGCAGAGATATGTACAGTATTTATGTTTTGATTTTAACTCTTCTGTTTCTTTTAAATAGCACTTAATTTATAGACGATGTAGCTAAAACAATGTCTTTCTACGTTTGGTACATGTGACGTACACAATGGCTGCTTTATGTAATGTGAAGCCTAGTCGACTTTATTTTTATAGCATGTTTATTACGACTACAGCCGCCCAAAGTACTGAACGTGGACACAGTACTAAACTTCTTAATCATGTTAGAAAATATCAGATGAACTTTGAAAAACATTGACCCTGTGCCACAAAGTTATTTCTCTGCTTCATTTTGCGTTTGTAAAATGTGGGCAATAATCAAATGATTCATGCATTATAATTCTTTATATATTGAGGTTGCACTTTTCTTAACCCGACTATTAAATAATTTCGATTCCATAACGTAAACTGTGTTATAAATGTTTTAATACAAAAGAAAATCTTCATAAATTTCAGATCAAACTAAATGGTGTTTTAGGGCCAGGGTTGCAGCCTCAATTGTATTTCATTTTTAAAAGAATGCATTGTTTTCAGCATATGACCATTTAGTATTTTTCAAAGTCAATATGTTTGATACAGTCCCCTCAGCACCAGTTTGATTTGCAAGAGAAGAACATTTAGACCAATGTCAAAGGGCCTCATTTGTGCATCAAGAATATACATTTATTCCATCCTGTGAGGAAGCAGTGGGATGAGAATGAGCGAACTTATGGTATTGCTTTGTAAAAAAAAAAAAAAATTGCTCCCTCTTTTCACAATTCAAAAGGTTCAAACTTTAAGGAGTATGTGAGTTGTAAGTGTGGTGGTGCGCTTAGTGGGTCAGAAGGACAAAAGTGCTTCACGTGCCTCTGGCTTTAAGCCTCAGCTCACAACATGGTGAAGTCACTCTCAGCAGGACTTGGACCAGGGTTAATGTTCATGATCATGTTCGATCTGCGGCCATCTGCACCTCTCCCTTTGCATTAGTGACTCTGGACCTGTAAGAGGATCAGGACCGTGAGGAGAGGCCAGGGTCCAACAGGCGCATGTAGCAGGGGGCTGGCAAATGTGTGGTAGCAGAGCAGGTGAATGTGAACCTTATCAAATACAGGCTGATTATAATGCAAGTGCTCCCTGGTATTTAAAATGATCACCAATAATGTCAAATCAATTAAAGATAAAAAAAAAGATAATGTCCTGTGATTATGTTTTTGCAATTGGATAAGCTGAATCAGCCTTTCTTTCTTTTATAATTTAATTTTCCCATTTGTTTCTGCGTGAGCATGAAGCAGCAACAACCATGCCTAAATTATTAAAGTATAAATATTAAAATCTTAAGACTCTCCAATCACCAAGTCAATTTTAGATCTCTACGCATAACAGCATGGGCTTACATCAAATGCATGGCTTCGATCACTATTGATACAAAAGAAAATTAGGACAAAAAGTCTTATCTATTCCTAGCCTCACATTCCCGAGCAACACTGTAATAGCGTCATGCCTTTATGTGAATCATACGTTGTAAATACTGATAAAATGCCTTTTTTCTGTAAATGATGCACCTCCCGTCCTCAATTGTTGATATGAACCGAATGACATATTTTTATATATTTGTGTATTTCTCTGCGTTTTTCTTTGTATGGCACACGCTGACAAGATTAGTTCTGTTGTTGTCACTGGCCTCGATGTTTGCCTTGCTCCGTTACCGTGTCGCAGGGAGGTCAAAGCTGCACCTGCACTGCTCCGGGTTTGACAAGCGACTCACTGTATGTAACTGTACTTGTTCTGTCACTGTGGGTTCCCTTTGTAATTAAACTGTTTCACTGGTGCAATGTGGGAGGTTGTTTCTTTTACAGAGCTGCTGTCCCAAAAAATAGACATTCACATTCATTCATAAAATCTTAAGCAAAGATAAAGGGGGAAAAAAATCATACAGGGAAACTAGCTATGACCTGTAGGCTTGGAGGGTGAGTTGGGGGTCCTGAGTTTCTGAGGAGGGGGGGAGGAGAGGTCCAGAGGGTGGTAGCAGAGATGGCAAATGCTCAGTCCCTTTTGTTCTCGGTTTTGGTGCTCAGATTTTATAGTCCCAAAGTCGCATATTTGCAAAAAGTCGAGTTCTTATGTATAGCGTGTGAGAATGGGGCCAGATTCATGATACCTCTTCAACATTATGCTGAACGCCATACAAATAAAGTTGATGCTGCACCATGACGCCAGCATTGGATAAAGTGGAAGAAAATGTATGGTTAGCTGTACTGTACTCAAAGAATGCATTGACTCCAAATCTATTCAGCATTCTATTCAATATCTTTTGTTGGATTAGCTCATTTGAATAGGGCAGGGCCAGCACTACCCAAATGAACGGCCTAAACAGTCACTTAAGGCCCCGAAACCTTTAGCTTTAAACTTTATGCAACTGTTAGACATTAACCAACAACAAAAAGCAGAGATAAACATTGCTTGTCTGATTTTTATGCGTTTTTACAATTTCAATTTTTAGTCTATATTCATATTGTTTACTGTGAGTAATCTGCAGTGATGAGGCATGGATCCCTGAAATGCATTTTTGCTTATTGGCCTAAAAGACCTTGGCAGTCACTGAAAGTGGGACAGTGCATTTCGATAAAGTACAAAAAGGCAAGGCACAGAACAGCTGATGATGGCGGCAGGAGCATGTTTGCATCAGCCATTCTCTCAGATAGTTTTAATAAGTGTGTATTCTGTGTTGTGTTTTGTGCTACAATTTGTTTATCTTTTAAGACCAGAGTGTTTTTTGTATCTGACAGTTTGGACTTTCTCAGAGTGGTCACGTGATGTTTCTGTGACGCGTCTTGCCAGCTGTTTTTGGTTCTGTCTTCCAACTACCAGAGGCAGGACCACAGCACCATTTATAGTCCAACTTCATCAGCATCAGAATCCCAGGTGTGTGAGAGTGAAGCAGCCCCCTTGTCCCGGTTTATAGTCCTGCTGCCACGTTTCTGCACTTAGTTTTCCTCTTTTATCCGGAGCCAATGTATGTTATCCTCTGATATTTGCTTTTTCACTGTCCATAATGTGGTTCTCTCTTTTACAGTGGTCGGAGATTGCCGTTTTGAGTCAGAATTGTGTTTTGTTACTTATGTGCATGTCTTTTCAGTCTCCATTTTATATTAAACAGCCGACAAGACAGGAACATGTGACCACTCCGAGGAAGAGTGGTCCAAGGTACAAAAAAAAAAACACTGTAGTCTTTAAACTTGTAGAATCAGAAGATCAAATATCAACGTCAGCTTTTTGTGTATTTACAATTTACAAAGTCCTTCACAGGCACACACAAATACATAAAAAGAAAACAGGATGAAATACACACAAACACACGTCAAAAGTAAAACATCCATCCATTTTCTTCCGCTTCATCCGTTGCCGGGTTGCGGGGGCAGCAGTCTAATCAGAGACGCCCAGACTTCCCTATCCACACACACTTCCTCCAGCTCGTCCGGGGGGACTCCAAGGCGTTCCCAGGCCAGCTGAGAGACATAGTCCCTCCAGCGTGTCCTGGGTCTTCCCCGGGGCCTCCTCCCGGTGGGACATGCCCAGAACACCTCCCCAGGGAGGCGTCCAGGAGGCATCCGGAACAGATGCCCGAGCCACCTCAACTGGTTCCTCTCGACGTGGAGTAGCAGCGGTTCTACTCCGAGCTCCTCCCGTGTGACTGAGCTCCTCACCCTATCTCTAAGGGAGCGCCCAGCCACTCTGCGGAGGAAGCTCATTTCGACCGCTTGTATCCGCGATCTTGTTCTTTCGGTCATTACCCAAAGCTCATGACCATAAGTGAGGGAGGGGACGAAGATTGACCGGTAAATTGAGAGCTTTGCCTTTCGGCTCAGCTCCCTCTTTACCACAACGGTCCGATACAGAGACCGCATCACTGCGCACGCTGCACCGATCCGCCTGTCAATCTCACGCTCCATCCTTCCCTCACTCGTGAACAAGACCCCGAGATACTTGATCTCCTCCACTTGAGGAAGGGCCTCTCCACCCACCTGCAGAGGGCAAGGCACCTTTTTCCGGTCGAGCACCATGGCCTCAGATTTGGAGGTGCTGATTCTCATCCCAGCCGCTTCACACTCGGCTGCAAACCGTCCCAGTGCATGTTGTAGGTCCTGGTTTGTTGGAG